TGGGAAAACTGAAAAAATACAGCAAATGTTATATTTTCACCAAAGTTTGGAAATTCTTCCTTTTCTCATGTCACCCCTTGGTGGGATGATATCGTCATTGTCTTACGGATTTTGGTCGGCTAAATGAATTTCTCTAGCCCCAAAGCAAAAGGCACCTTGCTCCGACCGTCTCCAGGATGTAGTCCATCAACCTGGCACTTTAAGTGCAGGTCGAGCTTGGCATCCAACACCGTTTGATGATGGGGTGGGCGCAGCCCTGCAGGCTGAGGGATTGATGGCACAATCAGTATTGAGGTGACACAGGGCTGTCATAAATGCTTAGACCCTGCAGCTCTTCTAAATTAAAAAAACGTAAGTCCCCAGATGAAGAATCCCCAAACTATTAAACTTGCTGTGCCTTGGAACAAAGCGCAGAAGTGCTATAGGCTTTGCACTTCAATCCACGTTGTTAAATTATAAATTATTTCCACACTGGTTAGTGTCAGAGAGATTAAATTTCATTTCTTTTTTTCCCAGTTTTATTGACATATAATATTGTATTAGTTTAAGGGGTGCAAAATAATGATTTGATATATGTATATATTGCAAAATGATTACCACAATAAATTTGGTTAACATCCTTCACCTCACAAAGTTATGATTTTTTTCTTGTGATGAGAACTTTCAAGATCTACTCTCTTAGCAACTTTCAAGTATATAACACAGTATTATTAACTATAGTCGCCATGCTGTGCAGAACTTATTCATCTTATAACTGGAAGCTTGTACCTTTTGACTACCTTTACCCGTTTCCCCCACCCTCACCCCCTACCTCTGGCAACCACCAATCTGTTATCTGTTTCTATGAGTGCAGTTTTTTTAGATTCCACATATAAGTGAGATCATACGGTATTTGTCTTTTCTCTGTCTGAACTTGTTTCAGTTAGTATAATGCCCTCAAATTCATCCATGTTGTTACAAATGACAGGATTTCCTTCTTTTTATGGCTGAATAATATTCCATGGTGTATATATATATACACCACATTTTCTTTATCCATTCATCCACGGATGGACACTTAGGTTGTTTCTATGTCTTGGGTATTGTGAATAATGCTGCGGTGAACACAGGAGTGCAGACATCTCTTTGAGATAGTGATTTCATTTTCTTCGGATAAATATCCAGAAGTGGAATAGCTGAATCATATGGTATTTCTATTTTTAACTTTTTGGTAGGAACCTCCATAGTGGTTGTACCATTTTACATTCCCACCCACAGTGCACAAGGGATCCCTTTTCTCCACATCCTCACCAACACTTGCTGTCATTTGTCTTTTCGATAATGGTCATTCTAACAGGCCTGAGGTGATATCTCATTGTGGTTTTTATTTGCATTTCCCTGATGATTAGTCATGCAGAACACCTTTTTATATATTTGTTGGCCATTTGTATATCTTCTTTGGAATAATGTCTATTCAGTTCCTCTGCCCATTTTTTAATTGGATTGTTTGTTTTCTTGCTATTGGGTTTAATTTCACCACTTCTTATTTCATTTTTATTCATTTCATGTGATGAATTTAGTTAAAAGTTAATGAGTTGTTTGACCTATCCTTGTTTGGTTGTCCTTTAACTTGGGAAGCCTCAGCTAATTCCAGTGAAATTCAAAACATTAGATAAGATTGAAAATGACTTTCTAGTACTTTTATATAAAAGAGGCCAGGTGTGGGTCCTATTTGGTCCATATGAATGGGCCTGTGGCCTCTATTCAGTTAGAAGTACAGAAAAAACACCAAAGAGGAGGAAGACAAGTATACAATGTCATTCCATATCTGCATTTAAAAAATGCACCAAGGCAACATTCTGCTTAAACAGTGGGAAGTGCAGCTGGGGTTGAGACACTTCGCCTGCACTAAAATAACTTCTCACGCAGCTGCTGACGTTTTCTTTCTCTCTGTTTTGATGGGGTGTTTCTGTGTGTTGAGCAGAGCTTTCTTAATCTTATCTATAATGAGAATTTTTTTAGTGCTTTGTATTTCCTCATCATTGTCCAAATGAATGATGCATATGCTTTCCTAGTTTGATTATCTAAAAGAATTTGTGAAGATTTGGCCTTCACATACAAATACTGATTTAAAGTTGTGCTAGAGAATATGTATCAGATAATAAAGAATATATTAAAACTATAACGTGGAACTTCCATCTCCCAAACTCCATGGAATGTGATGAGACTTCCCATAGGTTCCTTTTCATTAAAGTATTACCCAGAATGGGTAATACTCTATTCTGGATGTCATGGTTTTGTGAGACACTTTACAAGGGGAACTTTAGGAGTGCTGTCTGTTTCCATTTAGCATGGGAATTACAAGGGTGATACCCACCATGAAGAACCAAAACCTTTGAATACAGCAATCATTGTCATATTGCTTTTGAAAAATGCGACCTTAGTTGGCCCTTGCTGTTCACTGGGCTGCATTGAAGTTTTCTCATATTCTCAGAGCCCCTGGGGATGGTATGCCTGCAGTTAAGGGGAATCGACACTAGATGGCACTCGCAACATTCTGATTGTCTTAGCCTTGCCTTTCACCTTTCACCTGTGAGGTTGGAGAATTCTGGCAGGGAACCCTGATACTTAGTGTTGCGTTGTAATTGATGGTATCCCCCCATGGTGATCTGGGAGATTGTGTGGAGCAAAACCTCTGCCCTTATTCCTTGTTTTCTCCTCCAACATGCACACACATACACATGTGCACAAATGTGCACACACACAAACCTGTGCACACACACACATGCACATACACCCCCCCCCACACACACACTGTCTTGTTACAAAAGGAGGAAGAAAAGGGAAATTTGAAAAGAATAGATAAAGATTATTACCAAGAATGTCTCTTTTGGTATCAAGATATGCTTTATATAATTCACAATTACATTTGAACATTAAACAAAATTCCATTTAGAATAAGGTACAGAGGAAAGTCTGCTCAGTGAATGATTCTTAGCTCACACTCTCTCTATTGTTTCTGATTTCGTTCTTTATAAGTGCACTGGGTGAACGATATCGGCCTAGGCCTCCGTGCCCTCCTCCTAGGTGGGAATAACAGTACTGACCTCACTGGGTGGATTTTAGAACTAAAAGATGTAACACATCCTCAGCATTCACTGCACTTACTCCCTCTCCTCTGGGGACTCTCAGGACCAGATATTGCGAGCTTCCTACGTGGCAGGCACTGGTCTTGCAACTTCATATATGAATGCATTCACTCTGGAGGAATTCTGTTATACGTGTCTTATTATTACCATTTATCATATGAGGAAACTACGAGTGGTAAAATAGTTTTCCCAAGGTGACACACTAGCACAATGTTATTAATTATTTTATTATTATTGATGTTGTTGTTGTTTCTACTTGTAGTAGTCATGAGGTTTGCAGCTTTTCCTTGGGGTCTTACTGCAAATCAGCAAGGAGTTATCTTACCAATGAAAGTAACCACACCAGATCTAATGAAGCATCATGGCCCTTCACCAGTGCAGAGGACTCAGATTTCTCTCAGCAGGATTCTGTCCCAAACTAATTAACCACACACAGAGAGATTGTGTACCTCTCCCCTCCCACAGGCTTGCCTGCTGTTTCTCCTCTCTGGTGCCCTCTCCCTATCTTCCCCTGTAGGCTGGGGCTCCTCAGGAACACCTAGAGGCAGTTAATACCTTATTGCTTATTTCCTTACATAAACAGTCAGAGGCAGAGTGATGTTGCGTCTTACAGAAATCAAAATCCAGGGAGGTTGCTGACTTGGGGTACTCAGTTTGGATATGTTAAGCGTGAGGTACCAGTGGGATGGGCAGTACCCAGCAAGGGAAGGCTGGAGTGGGACCGGGGCCAGGCATGGGATCTTTGTGGCAGTGGGCAGAGGAGGGAGTGACAGAAGAGCGCACGATGACGCTGCCAAAAGAGAAAGTGGCAACACGCAGTGCCTAGCTTGGCGCCTGGCCCACAGAGAACATTCAGTCGATCTTGGATAACCGGCTGAATAATCAAAGTTCCTGCATGCTTCCTGAGTCTGTGCTAAGCATGTCGCAGCCATCACTAGCTGCTGTTCTTATCACCCCTGCTCTACAGAAGAGGGAGCCAGCACTCTGGGCGGTGAGTCCTGTGCTAGCGGGCACAGAGCTGGCCCAGACTGTTGCCAAGAATGAAGCCTCCGCCCTCAGAGCCCAGCGCCCCAGCCTTTCCTGGGGTGATGGCTGCTGCAGGGAGGGTTTTACGCAAGAGCCAAATCACCTCTCCTCTCGCGCTCGGCCCAATGTTCATGTTGGGGATACCCTCTCCACCTCTCCGGAAGTCCCTGCCAAACCTCCAGGTGTGGCTCAGAGGCCTCAATATCCCCAGCCCACCACATCTCCCTCTGTCTCTGCTCACACGGCTTCTTCACCTCCCTCTCACTGATTTGAGACCTAGTCCTTGAATTTGAACAAATTGAGGTTGACTTCTGCTGCCAGCACTAACTAAATAGTGACTTCAAGCCAGTTTCTTAAATGCAATGTTTTAGGTAACATGGTGCACCATAGTCTATGGAGAAGACATGTTCCGTGGGGATTTTAACATATGATACCCGCCCACACTGTATAAGCTGTGAGTGTCATGAGTTTATTTATCATCTCTGAGTGTCAGAGTTGCTGGTTCAGCGAGTCACAGACTCAAGTTGGATTGGCTACACTGTATTATCGTATCGCCTTTGCTCTGCCTTCTCCTACCTGTGGATTTGGCCAGTCTCTGCCAGCAGGTGAGTGCCCTGAGGTTCACAGGCAGGTTGTACTATTTTGTATCCTATGCGCAGTCTGACACCCAGCTTGTTGAGAACTAGGTGGCCTTGGAGTTATGGCAATTAAATGAGTGACTGAATGAAAGATACTGTGTTCAGTGAATATTGTCATAATGACTTAGTTGGGTGATTGAGACAAGAGAAAAGTGCAATGTGGAAAGGAACATAAAATAATATAAAGCTCTTTTTGTTTTTTAAAAAGGTGTTTCTGATGCTTTTGCAAGATTCCAAAAAGCATCCTGACACTGCCCCAGGGACCGAGTCAGAGCCACAGTTCTGCAGGCCTCCACAGCATGCTCCTGGGTCCTGTGAGTACACAGTATCTCTTTGTATTTCTCCTGGATGGATAATGTCACTATCCGCATTCAAAACCATAGTTTTAAAAGCTGCGTGAAGAGACTGAAGACAGTGAGGGGGTGTAACTGGATAGAAAGGATACAGGTCAGAGGCAAAAGGCTTAGAGTTTTATCCTGCTTTGAGTAAAACTGTGTGTTTATGGACAGCTTTATCTTTTCTTTAGAACTTTATTAAACAAGCAATTTCTTAGTGTGTAAAATTAGAATAATGAAAACAATTCGTCTTGTTTTACCTGCATCACAAACAAACCAATCCAGCCTACATTCACGGTGTACCTATGGCATGCAGGCATTTTGCTGGGAATAGGTTTATGTGAAGAAAAATCCAGATGTGAGCCTTGCGTTCTCAGAGCTTCTGTCCAGTTGGGACCAAAAACTGGTCATAGGTTTCATGTTCATACCACCACACATAGGCCTCAACGGTCAGACAGAATCCAGACTTGGTTTTTAGATGTGTGACTGCAGCTTCTGTCAGTCCAATTTCTACCATATTTGTTAGTAACAACTCACCTTGGAGCTCTGAGCTGGGCTCTAGAGGTGTGGAGGGTCACAGATCCCAGAGCCTGCCTTCAGAGACCTCAGTCCGTTAGGCCCATGTATAAATAACTAAAAGTAAATATGCTATAATGTTTACAACAGGAGTTTGCCAAACTGCATTCTCACCAGCTACACATGAATGTTCCAGTCGCTCCACTTCCTCTCCAGCTGTTGTCATTGTCAGGTTTAAAAAATACTAATTTTAGGCGTTGTAATGGGTGTGTAGTGGTTTCTCATTCTGGTTTAAATTTGCTTTTCCCTAATGATTAATTGTGTTGGGCATATCTTATTTTAACAACTTTATTGAGATATATTTTGCATGCCATACAACGTGACCGTTTAAAGAGTACAATTCAATGGCTTTTAGTATATTCTCAGAGTTGTGCATCCATCACACTATCAATTTTAGAGCAATTTTCATTACCCCCCAAATAAACTCTGCATCAACTTAGCTGTCACCTCCCATTACCCCTATCTCTTGCAGCCCTAGGTAACCTATAATCTCCTGTCTGTCTCTATAAATTTGCCTATTCTGGACATTTCATGTAAATGGAATCATACAATATGTGGTCCTTTGTGACTGACTTCTTTCACTCAGCATAATGTTTTCCAGGGTCATTCGTGTTCTAACGTGTGTCAGTGCTTCATTTCTTTTGGTTGCTGAATAATGTTCTACTGTGTGGATAGGCCACATTTTGTTTGTCCACTTTTCAGTTGTTGGTCATTTGGGTTGTTTCTAATTTTGAACTATTATGAATATACTGCTATGAACATTTGTGCATAAGGTTTTTTGTGGGCATATATTTTCTCTTGGGTATATAGATAGGAGTGGAATTGCTGGATCATGTTTAACCATTTGAGGAACTGTGAGACTGTTGTCTACAGTACCTATATCATTTTATATCCCCGTCAGCAGTACATGGAGCTTCCACATTTCCCACGTGCTCACCAATGCTTGTTATTATCTGTGTTTGATTATAAACAACTTAGTGGGTGTGGAGTGGTATCTCATTGTGGTTTTTGATTTGTATTTCCCTGATAGCTGATGATGTTGAGCATCTTTAATGCTCATAAGAGAAATCATACAATAGTTGTCTTTTGTGACTGGCTTATTTCAATTAGCATAATGGCTTCAAGGTTCATCCATGTTGTAACGAGTGTCAGAATTCCATTCTTTTTTAGGACTGAATAATATTCTAGTATATGTATATGCTACATTTTTTTTATCCATTCAGTTGTCAATGGACACTTGGGTTTCTTCCACCATTTGATTATTGTAAATAATGCTGCTATGAACATTGGTATACAAATATCTCTCTGAGTCCCTGCTTTCATTTCTTCAAGGATTTCTCCATATCCTTGCCAACACTTACTGTTTTTCTGTTTCTGTGATAATAGCCATTTTAATGTGTGTTAAGCGGTATCTCATTGTGGTTTTGATTTGCATTTCCCTAATAACTAGTGATGTTGAGCATCTTTTCGTGGGTTTAATGTTCATTTGTACATTTCATATATCTTCTTTTGAGAAATTTCTCTTCAAGTCTTTTGCTCAGTTTTAAAGCAGACTTTATTTTTTAGAGCACTTTTAGGTTCGCAGCAAAATTGAATAGAAAGTACACATTTCCCATATACTCACTGCCTCCCCACATACACAGCCTCTCCCACTATCAACATCCAGAACCAGAGGGGTACATTTGTTACAACTGATGAACCTACATTGACACATCATTATCACCCAGAGTCCATAATTTACATTAGTGTTCACGCTTAGTGTTGTATATTCTATGGGTTTTGATAAATGTATAATGACATGTATCCACCATTATAGTATCATACAGAGTAATTTCATTGCTCTAAAAAGCCTCTGTGCTCTGCCTATTCATCCCTTCCTTCCCCCAACCCCTACCAACAATCTTTGCCCATTTGTTTTTTAGTTGTTGAGTTGTAGGAGTTCTTTATATTTTCTGGATATCAATCTCTTATCAGATATATGATGCAGAAATATTTTCCCCCATTCCTTGGGTTGTCTTTTATTTTCTGTCAGTTGTGTATTTAGATGCACAGAATTTTTTATTTTGATGATGTTCAACTTACCTATTTTTTTTTTTCATTAAATGAGGATGTAGAATTTTTTTTTCCTTCCCAAAGCCCCAGTACATAGTTGTATATTCTAGTTGTAAGTCCTTCTAGTCCTTCTATGTGAGCCACTGCCACAGCATGGCCATTGACAGATGAGTGGTGTGGTTCTGCGCCCAGGAACCGAACCCGTCCGCCGAAGCGGAGTGTGCAGAACTTGAACCACTAGGCCATCAGGGCTGGCTCCAATTTACATATTTTTGCTGTGATTTTGGTGTCATATTCAAGAAATGGAGTTCATTGAGCTTCTTGTAATTATATATCCATTTCTTTCCTCAAATTTGGTGTTTTCTGTCATATTTCTTCAAATAATCGCTGTCTCACCTTTTCTCTGTCTCTTCTTCTGAGACTCTTATAATGCGGATATTCATTCACTTGATGGTGTCCCATAAGCCCTTTAGGCTCTGTTCACTTTTCTCTTTATTCTTGTTTCATTTTGCTCCTCTGACCCCAAAATTTCAAGTGACTGTCTTTAAGATCATTGATTCTTTCTTCTGCCTGTTCAAGTATGCTAATGAACCTCTCTACTGATTTTTCAATTCAATTATTGTATTTTTTAGCTCCAGAATTTCTGTTTGGTTCTTTTTTAAAAATATAATTTCTATCTCTTTGTTGATATTCTCACTTGGTTCGTATATTGTTTTCTGATTTACGTTAATTCTTTGTGTTTTCCTTTAGCTCTTGAGCATATTTAAAATACTTGTTTTAAAATTTTTATTTAGTAAATCCAATGTATGTTACTTCAAAGACTGTTTCTAGACATTATTTTGATCCTTTGAATGGGCCATGTTTTCCCTGTTTTTCTGTTGTGACTATTGGTTGAAATTTGGGCTTTTGAAAAACAGCCACTTCTCCCCATCTTTGCAGAGTAATGTGTGGAAGACCTTTACTAACTATTGATCCCCTGAGCCTTGAGATCAGCCTAGGGTAAAGGCTTAAGGCCTTCTCAAATCTGGGAATATTTCCTGTCTGGGCCAGTGTGTGTTCTTTTTTTTTAGTTCTCCTAGCTTCTTTTAAATGCCTTAATTTCCCAAAGAGTCTCACCCCAGCTTCTTCTTGGGGTCTTAGCTGTTGTATTGTAGTCCCCTACCCATAATCTCTTAACCAGGTGTCTTACAGTCCCCCTGCAGTGTTCTGTGGCATCTACCACTGCCTTCTGTGGCTTCCAGCCTGAGATCCAGACTATGCCGCTGTTCCCATCTGAGTCAGGTGAAACAGACACGAGTCCCTCAGGCAACCCACAGCCAAGCCAGAATTTTGCAAAAATGTTTCCGCTCCGCTCTTTCCTCTCCAACAAAGAGATCTAGGAATTGGGCCATTTCCTTGTGACTGTACTGCTCTGGGGAAGGGGTGGAGCAAGCTGATAAAAAATAGCAGGAAATTTCCTACCATCTTGAAAGTGGATTTTTTTTTAAACTAGGAGTTTGCTTGGTGGCTGTAGATCTTTGGCTTCCTGGGCTCCTGTAAAGTTGTTTTAGTCAGTCTGTAGTTGTTTATTTGCTGTTTCTGTAGGGGAACAAGGGCCTGGAGCTTCCTAATCTGCCATTGCCTATGTCATCCTATCACCTTAACCTCTTTAAAGGGCTATTTTTGTGAATGAATACTCTGACCTTTACATCTTTTGAGGTTTTGGATAAAGGTTGTACAGTGACACTCAGCTTTTTCTCTCTGCCCTATTATCAATAGCTTTTTCTGACTTTTAGCACCTTTTTAAAAAATCTGGAAACACTGAGAATTTTCAAAATCACCAATTCCCATTGTTTGCTTAATATTTCTTCCCTCAAATTATCTTTCTCCTTTCTCATTTTACTATAAGCATCATGAAGAAACAAGGCAGCACTGTTAATTCTTTGTTTGGAAATCTTGTTAGCTCAATATCCAACTTTATTACTTACAAATTCTTCTTTCCATATAACTGGAAGAGATAATTTTGCTAAATTTTCTACCACTACATAGCAAGGATATCCTTCCTCCAGTTTCCACTAACATGTTCCTCACTCCCTGCTGAGCCCTCATGGGTAGCATCTTTAAATCTCAGATTTCTACTAACAGTCTGTCCAAGGAAATTTAGGCTTTGTCTACTATGCTTCTCAACATTCTTCTGTCTTTTGTCCACTCCCTGATTTCAAACCATTCCTACATTTTTAAGTATTTGTTACGGCAGCTATCCATTTCCAGTTACCAAAATTTGTATTAGTTTTCCATTGCTGTTAACAGATTACCATAAATTTAGCAGATTAAAACATTGCCATTTATCATCTCACAGTTTCTGTGGGTCG